TTCTCCACCTAGAAGAAAGAAAGAGGGCAGCAGTGATGAAGGGTAGTGAATGGTTCATGAGAACATAGTATTATTTTATGTTACTGCTGGCTGCTACCATCTTATTTCAGCACAGAGTTATTTAAAGCTATTTAATAAGCTTACAAGCAGCATTTTTTCTTCCTTTTCTCTTGCCATGAAAAATAATGACCCCAAAACATTGTTCAAATGAAGGCCTTAAGTGGGAAAGAAGGAAACAAAGCCTAAAATATTAGAGCGACAAGAAATATGTGCTCAATATTTATGCATTGAAGTGCTTCTTGTACCTGGAAAAGAAGTCGAACATCAGGTTCTCAAGAAGTCTCCCTTGGGCTGTCCAGGCAGGCAGGGATTTACTTTTCAGAGTGCTCCATAATAAAACTTCTTTTGATTAGACTTTTTTCTGGCTAACTTGCAGCAGTAAAGCTCATAGGAATTTTAGTTGGTTTAGCCTCTTCTGAGTGAGTGCCTGGTGAGTTGGTGATGTATCTGTCTGATCTGCAGGACTGACAGAAGAAATATGGAAATGACCAACTCAGCATACAGCGAGTCAAGGCTGGGAGATTACCCTGAGCTTCCCCATCTAAGATTGGACAACTGTTCCTGGAGTTGATATGGTCTTTATTACATTCCTCAGTATACACTGACAGTGGCCTTGGCTCTTGTTCAAGGTTGAGCAACTCAGCTTGGCATGAGGCATCCCAGCAGGATGGTCAACATCCCCTGCAGGGGAGGGAGTATCAGTCAGTGGCAGACATTTGGCCATGTCAGCCTGTCCTTCCCCTTAGCTTTGAGCTGTGCCTGGCTTTATACATGCTTCCCTGTCTTTGCAAAGGATGCTTAATGCAGCTCAGACAGTGAACAATTACAGGTTCAGAGCCACACAGGATTGCAAATATGGGGGATGGATGGACCGGGGAGGCAACATGTCCAAAGAAGAGTAATGAAACTGATGAAGGGTCTAGAGAACAAGTCTTACAAGGAGCAGCTGAGAGAACTGCAGTTGTTAAGTCTGGAGAAAAGGAAGTTCAGAAGAGACCTTACTGATCTGTACAACTACCTGACAGGAGGTTGTAGCAAGGTGAGTGTCAGTCACTTCTCCCAAGTAACAAGTGATAGAACAAGGGGAAATGGCCTCAAGTTGCACCAGGGGACATTTAGACTGGGTATTAGGAAAACTTCTTCACAGAAGGGGTTGTCAAGCACTGAAACAAGCAGCCCAAGGAAGCAGTTGAGTCACCATCTGTGGATAGTGATGCATAAATGGGGTGCTTAGGGATATAGTTTAGTGGTGGGCTTGGCAGTGTTACGTTAACAGTTGGACTCAATGATTTTAAAGGTCTTTTCCAACCCATATGACCCTATGAAGTATCTGACCCAGGGACTCCTTTTTTTTCCCCTGTCTCAGTCAGGATGGAATCTCCAGCCAGGCTAATGACACGGTGGGGTTTGTGCTGCTGAAACAGAGGACCAGCATGGTGGTGAGGGTGAGGATGAAGCTGAGGGGAGCCTGCAGTACTCTAGGGAGTCATGCCTTTGCTCTGCGTGCTGTTTCTGCCGTGCTTCTCAAAATATGCCTCCTCCTCTCCATAGTTTTGAGGGAAATAGCTATAGCACTAAGACCCCCTTCCCTTCTCTCTCAATAGCCCATTCAGTCTAGCATAAGCTCACTTCTGGGCAGAGAGAACAGTTACTAAATCCACATTATCTGAAAGGCACAACACAGAACAAATCTGATGCAAACATTGCACAGGCTAGAAATGCTGCAGTGATTAAAAGACAATCTCCAACATTCATGCCTAATGCTGACCTTGGACTTCTGCCAGCAAAAACAAGATAAATCCATTACGGAGCTCTACAGGCAGGAAAAGGTTTTCATTCAAGTACTTAGACATTATGCTCATAGCCAGCTTGCTTGCAGTACTGCCACTGTTACACCTCCACCAGTTTGCCTCAGCAGTAAGGCTTGCATTAACACTGTCCTTTCCCACAAACTCTCCTACTGGTGCTTTTGCCTGGATGGTGATAGCTACTGCTGCCATTGGCCAACACCCATGCTACTGTAGATTACATCTTTGAATTTCCTTCCATCTCGTTCTCTTATAATTTTGCATCCTTGGGGGGTGGGGCACAAAGAGCAACAGCTTGATTTGCGTTAATTCCATGGTATAAATCTCTTCTCACTCACTGGGATCAAAATTAAGTTATTTGGGGCCAAATTCTTTTACCAAGGTAAATTGGCAGGGCTTCATTGCCTTCTGTAAACGAAGATGGCCATTTACATTTATAACATCAGATGGGTGGCTAATTGCTTGGCATTCCTTGATGATATGAACAGATGGCAGCATAACTGATTATTATTATTCACCTCAGCTCTCTCAGGAGAGAAGAAGCAGATTTCTGCATCACTCCTGTTAAGTTCTTGGGCAGTGCAGTTTTCCAGTCCTCAGCTCCTGAGGACAGCTTATAGCTTTCCTTTCAGTGAGGAAAGCAAGATTACACTGTTGCTGACATACAGTGTCCAGGACAGTAGTGCAGCACCACAGTACCCAACGATACTATCACCTGAAAAAAACCGAGTGTATCTCACTGATTCAGTGGTCTCATTTTTGAACACTTGGATTTGCAGACCAAAGTTATTAGTGCCCAGCTCATATCACTTTTTTTCTCATGCTAACACTGCTCTTCAGTTCCATTCAATCTCATTCTCTTGTGTTCTTTACTAGGTGAAAAAGTAAAGATTTCTTTAGTCTCTTCCCATTAAACAAATTCTTCAGTCCTTGATATCTGTGTGCTTCACTGAGTCCCTTCTCACTTGGCATCCTCTTTTGTATGGATGGAAGTCTCAGAAAGGCTTGCACAATGCCATTAAGTACTCCTTGGCTTTTAAAAAGCTACATCATACTGAGGAGCTGATCCCAGCTAAACCTCTCACGTCTGGCAGCTCTTCATATTCCAAATTTACAAGCTTCCAATTTAGAGCAATGCTTTTGCCCACAACTCTGCACACTGCATCTACTGGAGCACATCTCACTTCTGCCACTGCTGTCAGTCTCTCCAACTGTTGCAAAACAGTCAGCTTCACAAACTGCAGACCACCTGCACATCCTTCACAAGTGCCCCTTGCCGCCACTCCCGCTTCCTGTCCACAAATACTCCCAAAACCACTTAGTGACCAGCTTCTGAATTCTGTGCTTCTCTGGTCAGACCATCCCCACTTTGCTGAGGAAGGCATGAATATTGAAGTTCAGTGCAGCAGTCCTTTTCACAAGAGCAGAGACCCTGGGATTCTAAGCTGTCTGAATGCTAATTTTGGCTGCAGATGATAGCAACATTTCTGCTTCTGTGAAACCCCTTTACTTCTGCCCTACTATCTGGGCCCCAGCATTTCATTCCAAGTTTGCAGAAAGTAGTCCTGGGGAGGAAAGGTGGAGCACATCAAGCTGTTACCATTCTCATCTGTGTTGGGAGGTGCTGCAAAATATTTACTAGTAATGTGGTCTCAACAGTCAGGTCCAGGGCTGGTGACATGAATATTTTTTTTACATTAAGGGAGACTCTAATTTCCTTATTACCAGCTTCTGGCAGTATTAACATACTTCACATTTTTTATGTGATTCGGCCAATACCAGAGCCTGTTTGGCAAGAAGCTTTTTAAGGGCATGGATGAATAAAGAAAGATACCTGTAAACCTTCTAAATGACAGGAGCAGGATGCGATCTACTTACACCACTATTTAGAAACTTATAACCTAGATCAAGGGAAATAAAATTACTCCAGTCGTTTTTTAAACTCCTGAAAAAAAGCAACTCCCAACTGATGCTTTATGCTTACCAATTATAAAAGCTTATGAGGTCTGAAAATAAAATTAATCTCGATTTTGTCAGAGGAATTGTTTTGCCTTACAAATCTGTACCTCATCATCACTTTAAGTCACAGAAGTCAGCACCGATTGTTACTTATATTTCTTTGTGGATACCCTACATTTTACAGCTAGCTGTGCCGGCAGCACTGCATTGCAAAATTAAGACTCGTCCTTGAGCTCTTTTTTAAACAAGTACATAACTCTTCCTTGATAATAATGAAACGAGACCATGATCAGCCGAGTACAGCTCATGTTGGGAGTTTGCTCATGAGAATGGTCAGATAAGATGCTTCTTGCACAAGATGTGCATGGGAGTAAATGGAAGAGTATGATCAAAACAGACCTGGGAAAGTCTGTTCTCTCTGTGCGGTAATAGAGTGATTGAAGGTGTACACGAGCTAGTAACAATCCTGGCTGCATAGTCTGGTCTCCTGTTTGTAACCCATAAATACTGTCTCTTGCTAATAAACTTTGTCCTAGCTTCTCTCAAGAGCTGAGTCCGTGCCTTTCAGGCTGCCGCAGTTCTTGCAGTATGTATTGCCAAATCTACATTCCACAGGCACCAATATTTTAGGCAGTTTTCGGTAAAACTGCCTTTTTATAGTTTTTAAACCTGGACATTTTTTCCAACTACCCTTCTTCCTAGACTACTTGCTGTTCATGGCACATGGTTTCAAATTTTGAAAACTTAAAGCCGACTCCAGCTGTTCTATAGGAAAGGGAAGCATGCTGTGCAACACCCCCGACCCAAGTTGCTAATAGCCTGCAGAAGCATGCCCTCACACTGGTAAGCAGTGCAGCACAGGCAGCAATCTCCAGCTTGAGGGGACTGCAAGAAACAATTTGCGCTTTGTTTACACACTGAATATCTGTATCTCTGTATGGGTGGTTTAAACCACTCTGCACCGTTTCTGCACTTACCTTTTTAAAAATACACACAGATGTGTTCAGAATCCTTGCTAAACCTTTCCTTGAAATGTAAATCTCTCAGTGGAAATGTTAAACAGAGCTTTTACTGATGAGCATGGAGGACAAAAAACCCTCAAACCTCAGATGCAACAGAAAGCTGCCCCATTGGGTTCAAAATATCTACGTCGCACTTCACAAAGACATATTGTAATAATTTAATATTTATTGAAAATATCACATTAGCCTTTATTTTCCTCTTTTGCCGCAGTGCAAAATTAAGCTATTTAACACGTAAACTGTAGTAACAGAACTGCAAGCAGCTTCATAAAATGAAAGAACAAACACACTTATGATCAGACTCTTTAATTTGGTGGATAAGGAACAGGGGGAAGGAAGGGAATAATCTGTTTTGGGGTCTGATACACAACCTCATGTGTTGTTTTAACATATTGTTGTTAAAAGCCACTGATTAGCAGTACAACATGCATCTAAAAACTGACCATACAGGGCTTCATCCATTACATATACTATCTGTAGACAAGAATCATTTGGGATGGGAAAAAGATCAAGATAAAAAGAAAAGCACCAGGGCTCCACAGCCCTCCTAGAGCAAAGAATTTTGCAGGGAGAATGTAATGCCATTTGTCAGTGCTCTACCATGACATGCCACAAGGACTAGCATTTGGTCCATTTCCTGCATGTTTGCTGTAGAAATGCACTTCTTTGGAAAAGCAACTGTCAAGGCTTTGCAAATGCAGGTTGCTTCAGACACCCAGCTTATTGGCCTGGGTGAGGACAACTTTCAGAACAGGCATGAAAGCAGAAGTCTCACTGAAGTTGCTGATGCTGACTATGTGCGTGTGGATGTTCAGTCCCTCCTGGTAGTTGCGGGTTTCAATGCTCTTCACAATGTTGTGCAAACCGCTAATGATGGTTGGAGAGAGCTGCAAGGAAGCCAGGCAAGGCAGGTCAGCAGAAAGAAAAAACAGTGCATACACTAGTGCTAGAAACCCAGAAATCCTGGGTGTAACACCAGGCCCTCAAGAAGGGGAAGCAATTAGTTACTTTCTTTAAAGAAAGCCATCTTTAAAGCTGTACCACACTGGGAACAGTCACTGGGAAGTCTAAGGGAAGACTTCAACCAGAATATTCCTTCTCTGTAGCACTGAAAAGCCCTGCAAGCCTTTAGTGCTAGCCCCTGGATGCAATTCTCTTGAGGTGGGAGACCTGCTGTGATAGACTGTGACTGAGCTTTTGTGCCTCTGGGGTAAAGTTAATTGCTCAGCAAAGATGGTCTGACAATGACAGGATTATACCACTCTAATCCTAAAGTACTAGAAGATTTAAGCCCAGTCCTTTATTCTGCCACAGACCTCCTGGAAGTCTTTGGAAAAATTACCAGAACTTCAAAAGTACTTGCATATCTGCCTTCCAGTGAAGTCACTGAAATATTCTTTTTTATTCTTTTGTTTTGTTTTGTTTTTCACTCCAGATTCTATGTCTCACTTCCTGCTGTGTTGGCTCATTCTGCCAACAGCTGGCGACAGGGGTTCTCCTGATGCATTCACCCAGTGCCTACTGCAAGAAGCTGGTTTTGGCTCAGCACAGTCCCTGCACAGCACCATAAAACTCCTGACATGACCCAAAACATTATGAAGTCTGCACAGGCACTTGGACCCAAGCACTCTACCTAGCCATTTGAGGGAAATGCATAAAATAAATGGATTTGAAGCAGGCTTCCAGAAAAAGAACAAGCACCAGCTACATATTGCAGAGGTGTCCACACCACTAATGAAGTTTAATATTTGAGGGGAACAGGGGGGAAACGTAAAACAGAACTTACTGTCTGTTCCCTAAGTTTGTCATACAGAAACTCCAGGCGTTTATTTGCATCATCTAGTTTCCTCTTGGTTTGCTACAAGAGAGATAAATACATTAAAACAGTGATCTTAGAACACCATACTCATCTGCTATCACTACAAAGAGATCTGCACAGCACATGAAATTCCTTTCTCAACATTTTCCCAACACATCATTTGAATTTTTTGCTCTGTACTTTTCTGCCCTGATTTTGCTAGGAAAGACCATGTGATTACTATAGTTCTCCACATGTAACTGCTCTAGTTAGCTACAGAAAATAAACTACAGAGGTGCATCCCAAAAGCCACTGCTCGTCTGCAAAACCCACTGGTATAGTTGATATGGGAAGTGCCAGAATTCTGAGTTGCAGCGTGAATTATTTTTTTTCTACGGTTCACTGGCAAAGCCTAATAATAGCTGGATAAATTTATTACTGAAATTGAGCATCCAGCAACATCAATGAGTGCTTAAGGGGACATGCAGTCACTGAAGTCTAAGTATGTACAAGTCAGTCATTATTCACGGCAAATCCTAATTATTTTCATTATGTGATAAGTAAAACCAGGAGTTTGTCTGTAAGCTTTTACTGTCAACAGAAATACTAAAAGCCTAACCCAAACTGTCCTTACAGGTCCTTTGTGCTTCCATTTCACATACAATAAACCACCTAATCCATGTGTTTCTAATTATTTTGCCACCAAGGGCTCTTAAAATAAACCTGGTATATTCCACCTTGAAGCCCACAGTAGCTGCTGCATAAATGCATTTTTATCAACTTTTTTTCCTAAACAGCCACAGAAATTTAAGATTTTAATACATAATAATAAAACAGTAATAAAGTGTCAAGGTTACAACTACAGAAGCATCAAAATGTAAATGGTAAACAGCAACAGAAATGGCATCAGTGCACAAGGGTAATGCAACTTCCTCTTAAATCAGTATGCATATCAATCCATCTTCACTTAGGATAGTGTCATTTCCCCAGGCAACTGGAAATGCTTCCCTGGATTAAATAATTGCCCAGAGAGAAAATAACAAATCCTATAGAAATGCTCTAGCTCAGCGGTAGAGACAGACTGGTGGCTACCTGCTGTGCTAGAAATTAGGGAAAGCTGTGCAGATGGCAAAAGGAGAACACAGCACATGGATCTCAGGCCATGTGTGGAAAACACCTTAGCAGTAGTTATGTCGTAAAGGAACTGAGGTAAGTAAGGAAAAAGTACCCCAGGAAGAGCAGATAAGCAACTGGCTAATGGTTTTGGACTGGCTAACTCTCTCAAAAAAAAGCATACATGCTATTTTGATTTTACAGACAGACAACCAGGGCAAAGAGGAATAAACTGTGTTTAATAAACAGCAATACATCTCTCCAGCCAAAGGAAATTAGGTGGAAGAAGTACACAGTGGTTGTTCTCCTCACTCTTTGCTTCCTGATCCCATTTTTGCCTTTGGAATGTACTAACTGAGTAGTGTCTGTGTTCTGACAGTAACCGAGGTATACAGTCAGGGCAGTGCCTCTCAGTGCTGTGTGCTGGAAATGCTTGCTCTGCTAAGAAAATCAGAGAAACTTAAAAAGAAGCAAGCAAAATGTGTTGGCAGAGCGAAAAAGCAATCCCTGGGAAGAGATGTGAACTAAATGCTTCTGCTGCCTTTGCATGTTTAGGAGAAGGGGCACTCAGAGGAAGAAAAGGTCAAAGGGTCCATGCAGTGAACGACTTCTATCCCTGCATTCTACAGCCTAACCTTTAAAGAAAGGATTTTGAGCAATTGAATGCTACTGCTCCTTACGAGATCTGTCCAAAGAAAGGTCTATGGCCTTGAAAAACTTCTTTAAAGGAGTGCACAGGCAAGTCCACCCTGAAACTGCTGGGCTGAGACCCACAAGGGAAGGAAGGAGTATGTACATGCAAATGTCAAGTCTAAACTACAGAGCCAGTAGAGTACAGTAGGCACAAGACAGAGATGACACCAAATGCCCAATACCCTTCCACTACCATAGAGACCTCAGCTAGCTCAGGGCCCAGTCACTGTAACAGGAGTGTGAGTCTCTGCTGCTGACCAAGCACATTTGGTGCACAAAGCCCCATGTACACCACCAGCCCGTCTTTCACCATCTACCTTTCAGCATGTGGCAGACACAAGGCGAACAGTCAGCACCTGGCTTTCGGGGCCACCACGTTACTTACCGACCACCAGATATGAGTGAGAAGCTTTGAGACAGATAGTTCATTTACAAAAGTACTGATTACCACAGGAAATGTTCCTGTTCAGCTTCAGAAGTTGTGTTAAAGCACAGAGGTTGTGTTAAAAGCATCCACTTTGCTACCCATTGTTTCCTTTTGAAATGGATTTGTTACCAAAAATCATAAATTGCACATCAAAATCTGAGGCACACATTCATGTCTGTGAGCCTTGTCTTAGACCTGGAATAGTACCAGCTACTTCCTGCTCTGAATTATAAAGAGCAGTTAAGCAAAAGTAGAGGGCAAGCCACCAAAATGATCACCTGACAGAAGCAAGCACAGCCCTTTCTAAAGGGCTTTTTTAAAAACATCAACACTAAAACTTGAACTGTAACCAATTCCAACCCTCCTCCTTAGAAGAGAGCAGCAGAGGGGGCTGCAATGGGTTAATTCCCTGTCCACAAACAGTACCATCATGCTCTGCCCATGCTGAGGGCTGTAAAGACCAGAGTCAAAGTGCTCAGTCAGCTGGGCTGTGCTCTGGTCCCCATACTACCACACCCTATGTGCATATGGCTTTTCTACACATTGCTTGTTTCTGCTTTCTGCTGAAAGTAGCCTTTAGAAGGAAAAAGCTATCTCAGGAGAGGCTGTGATGGCTAGCCGTGCTACAGGTACTAAACTACAGGTACCCAAACACAAGGATACTCTGGAAACACCACATAGACTCACTGGATCAGAGGCAGACAGTAGGCACCTCTGGATAAGAGCTTCAAATGTAGTCTTCAGAATAAGGTGCTCCTCAGGGATGGGCTTCTTGGTAATCTTCTCTGTTGGCAGTGCCTGCACATGCTGAGAAACAGAAAGCAGGTGAGGCTTTTCCAGTTCACTGTGACCACATTCTGTTTTCAACTAAACCAAGTGGCATTATTAGCCAGCTTGGCACAACTCCTGTTTCTTCCCTGTGGGCGTGTGGAAGTGACACTGTCAGCATCTGTTGTCACTCCCTCTGGAGAGCTGTGAGGTTGCACAAGGAAGCAGCTTGTTGGAGCATACTGAACTAGAGTATTAACTGCAAAGAGGTATTGCTTAGATGAAGATCACAGTGGCAAAATGCCAGCATGGTGCAAAGCTAGTGACTGAAAATACTGCGGTACACTTTGAAGGTACAAGAAATGCCTGGTCAACAGGATCCCAGCCTGCAAGGCTCTGCTGATGTACAAATCAAGAGCGTGCAAATGCTGGGGCTACGTTACCTGGATGGCATTGCCAATTGGGGCTCCAGGGGCCCCCTCCGTGCTGGGTTTGGAAACAGAGGGTGGGATGATGCATGACCCCAGGGGCTGGGGAGCAGGTGGGTAGCCACCCTGCAGCACCAGCTGCCCTGCTGAGAGGTGTGGAGGCTGGAAGCTGGGTGAGCCTGTGGGTGGTGCTGGAGCTGGAGGCTGCTGCATCTGAGACTGTGGATCCGCCAGTGGGTTCATGATTGGGGAGGTGATGGGAACCGGGGGCAGGAAGTTATCAGGGACCTTGGGAAAAAAACAAACCAAAAAACAAACAGTACATTTATGCTACTGTGGCTGCCACAGGCAGAGCACAACACTCAGCTCCTACAGACTTCCCAGTCTGCAGCAACAGAGAGCTCTGCCAAGCAGACTGATGAGCCCTCAGAATATAGAGCAACAGAGGCAGGCAATATAGGATTTCACTCTGGCTAAACAAACTCATTCCTCTGGCTGCAGCTGCAGTGAGAATTGCCCTGAGGCAGTAGTATTTGTCAGTAATTCCAGTTCTGTGTGCTCTGCCTGTTCTGCCTCAACTGCAGCAGAAGTCTGCCCAGGCTGCCTCTGGCCACAAGAACAGAGTACAGCCACCCCAAATCAGAGCCACTCTTCCTGTGTTAAGGGCACAAAACAGAGGTTTGGCAGACCAGCACTAAGAGAAGAGGAGTTGCGCTAATGAATACCAACCCACTCCTACATCTATTCTTACTATTGGGTCATTATATTTAGATTTTTTGTGTCTCACTTTCAAGGGTACTTTTTTGTCCATGCAGTACATAGGCCACAGCTAGCAAGCACCAATAAGGCTTCTGAAAGCCTTTCAAGCTTCCGGCAAACAGGTTTGTGTGTTTCAGATTCAGCCCAAACATCTGCCACTCTTTACACAGCGGTGTTTTGGAAACACTTGGTAGAGGCAAGAAACAACAAAACGAGCTACTGTCCTCTGCTATGCATCATACAGAAATGCAAACAAAAGGAAGAGGTCCCGTGGGAATGCACACGTTTCTTTGGGTTTGCATGGAAAAAAAGCGAAGACTACAGAACCCTGAACGAATGATACCAGAATTAAGCTAGCGGTTTGGGACAGCAAGAAAAATACTCCCAATCCACCACCAAAGTCAGTTATAAAAGCAATGAAATACAGCAATATTGGGTAAATTCTTGATTGGAAACAGTTGCAAATTATGCTGCAGCTTGAAATGTCAGACAGTTCTTCTATTTTACGATAGCCCATGTGGCGAGTCATTTTATAAATACCCTAAACCATCCTCAAATACAGTTGACATATGGGAAACAAGCGTCGAAATATTTTGACAGCAGTTTGTTAAATACCCAATAGGGAATGCAAGCATGACTCTTTATTTAGAAAGGAGCCAACCCTGTGACACACACACAACACACATAGCAGTAGCAAACCCCTGTTTGCAGAAGGCTGCATCTTGAGCTCTTAGGTCCAGCAGTTATTCCTACTGATGACCTTCTACTTAAGAGCCTGAAGCCCTGAAAGGCAGCATAGCAGCTGCCAGCACTGGGGCAATCAAGAGCACACAAAGCATTCCCTATGCAAAAGCTTCTAAATCTTGAACTGCAGACCAAAGTCCAAAGAGTAAGGGAAACTTCTGCCTTCACCTTCATCCAGACCTTATCTTGCCTGCTCTAACATCTAACATTTTTACTTTTTTTCCTCCCCACACTTTACACACTCTAGACTCACTCTTGGTTCCTAGGTGTACCAAGCTCAGAGAAGAGCAGATGACAGACTGCTATGTAGATACACAAGACTACAGCAGCACCAGTGAATGAAAAGGCTCATTCTGAACTGTGTCAAGTGTCCCCAGTTATTTTGTCCTGCTGCAATCTACATCTGTTTTACAAAACTACATTGTCTCTATCGCAAAAATTGTCTTATTCTCAGCTGATCTCTTGAGGTCACACCCTTAAATCAGGATGAATTGCTTTCTGCTCCAGCAAAGTCAGTAATCTATAACAACTTGCATGGCCTCATCATTTCATGTAAGTATCTCCTGAAAAACTCATCTGCTTTACAGCAGATGAAAATAGTTTGAGGTATTTTCTTCCCTCCTCAAACTAGAATTAATGTTGTAATTAATAACCACAACTTTAGCAAAAAGCCACCATCTCTTTAGAAGTTTAAGTATTTTGAGAGAGATAGTGCATACTTGAGAGGCGTAAAAGCCATTTCTGCTCAGGAGGTGCAGCTTTTGTTTGCTGCTAACCCTTTTCCTTAAATTACTGCTTTTCAGGTGGTCAGCATTGAATTGTGTTGAGACAGGATTTCCTAGAGTACCTTCTTCTTCTTGGCAGCTCTGTTCAAGGCAGGAGGGTCATTCCAGCCATTCTGAGGCCCTGAGACAGAAAGAAAAGGGAGACTGTAAGTACCCTGGAGGAGGGCAGTGATAATCTCCCTGAGCTCAGCTGGGCCAGCTCCCTGCCACAGCTCTACTGGCAGGGGCTGGGCAGAACCTGACCTCACCTTCCTGCTCCTCTGCCCTTCTCAGGGGGCCAGAATAGCTTCTGCTCCATTTGGAGCCTCCCAACACCTTGGCCATCAGACCCCTTTGGGCTCTGTGCCCACTGCACAGGTTTGGCATCTTGATCAACTTTTTCCAAGTTTGGCAGTTGATTCCTTTTATTTATTTTAAAAAATAATTAACTTTTTCTTCTCTTGGGAAAAAATAACTTTGAGCAGACATGTTCTCTGAAACAGCAGGCAGCTGCCAACCATGCCCCAAACATATAGCTCTGCTACCCACACTGTGTATGTGAAGACAGCTTCAGTTACTGGTGAAAGCTTCTCCCATCTGTATCATGAGAAGAAATGAGAACCAGTTTTGAACTTCTTTTTTTCTTCATGATCACCATAACATTATTATAAACACTAATTGGCAGCATAGATATAAGAAACCACAGGTGAATAAGAACACCATTTAGCTGCATCCATATCCCAAGAGCTGCTGCTGCGACTGCTTACTGTGATGGATTTATATACGGCAGTTAAAACATGTTCCCCAGCTACACAGCACAGAAAGAAGAGGCATAAGAAGCAGCAGGAGCTTTAAAGGTTTCAGTGCAGACTCACCCAGCCACCCTGGAGACATAAAAGAGCCATAAAACCAGATTGCCCCTGCCAGCTACAGCATGTTTATGGATGTTTTGTGTCCCAAAAGCAGAACAGAACTGCAAGAGCATGGTGGCAAAATATAGCTTTTTGCACCAAGATCATTTTGTTTGAAACTAGAAGCAGCACAGAGAATATCTGAGCAGATTCAGTCAGAGTCTGGAGTGTTGTTCTGTAACAAACATTACGTTCTTCCAAGAAAGCACACTCCATGCAGCTGCGAAATTTGAACATCAAGGCTCACATTAGTGCATTAGGAATAGTTCCCCATCTCATCATAGAGCGCATGTAATTGGGACCACAGCATTGTATTTCAGCATTACCATGGCCTCGACAAATAATCAGGATTTATTGCACAAACCCACAAAACGCCAGCAAAACCAAACCCCTGCTCAATGGACTTTTTCACCACAGTGTTTTTCACTTAGCAGATGATGAATTCACCTTAGGCAGGAGAGCTTAACATCACTGCAGAATTTGCTCAATTCATCCAAAATTGCATTTGCTATTGAGCTTTTGTTATACAAGTTCCACATCCAAAGCATGTTAATGTGGTAAATAAACAACTTAGAACCCCTTTCACATCTACTTTCTCTTTAAACAAAGGCAGTGCCATCTCCCAACAGCCATGTGCCCCAGAGGCTCGTTCCTCTGTTCCTCCTAAACCAGAAAATCCCAGAGTATTTCTGATATTGGAAGTCCAACTTCTGCAGTGCTGATAGCAGTAACATGTTAAGAAAATCTCACAGACTGTTACTGCTGTTAATTTTCTGGAATAATTCACTTTAAAAACCAAAAAGCCAGCTTTTTTTTCTGTGGTTAAAAATTCCAGATATATTGTTACTGGTTTCAATCAAAGAATAAAAAATTGATTTGATCAAAGTCTAATTAGCAGACAGCATCGCACGTAATGATGTCTGTTCAACTAATTTCATGAAGTGGCAGTAATTATTTTCAGGTTAGGTGGTACCTAGTTCACCTGCGAAGGGAGAGGCCTGGTCTTGAGTTGGTAGGCTTTCTGCAGATAAAATGCAAATAAAACTAAAAAAAAAATTCTTTGAAAATAATATAACAGCTGGTGTTTAATTTTTGATTAGCAGTTTAGTTTCAATAAGCACAAAAGTCAGGAGATAAAACACCTAACCTAATTACAATGGCAGTTTAGAGGTAAATAATTTGCCCAAACCACCCTGTGGAATTACTTTTGTTTACCTTTGCTGAAAACAAGCCTGTTGCTCTGTCCATGCAGTAAAAAGTGTGTTTCTAACAAATGCTGCAGTCCTGCACTCTTATAGGCTTTATTATCTCTTCTGGTATTGTCATTTCTATTCCTACCAGACAGTGCAACCCACATTACTCAGCCACAACCTGACAATCATTTTACCATTCCAGAGAGCTCTTCAGGAGACACCTAAAGCAGTTTGCGTTCCTGAAGGTTTGACACTTTGTACTGGCTGCCAATCCACCACAGCTGCTGGGAAAAACACAAGCAGCACCAGTAGTTCTCAGAAGGCCTAGCATGAAGACTTAATTTTGAAAGGAAATCTGGCAAGGCAATGTGGATAATGACTGCCTCAATTCCACTTATATTAAAATGGCATAGGCAAGACTACTGTCTGTGTGGATTACGCAGTTCTACAAATCAACCGGTATAGTCATTAATGTCCCTAATTTCTACGGCCCAGGGCACAGAGCTTCACTTGCTCTGAGTTACACATGGACTATGTCACTTCACTGTTATCACAAGAAACTCAGCAAGCAACAGATCTGAAGTACCTGCCAGCAAGCGCAAGTAGGGTAATAACATGGATAAGAAAGAACAACCTTCTTGTATTTACTTGGAGGTGGCATGAGCCATGCTATCTGCATTATAACATGCTGCTTCACACCTCAGGCCTAGAATCCTATCTAACGCCTCTTCCTTTGCCCAGTTTAATAATTTGTCTAGCTTGAAGACACAGAAGTTTGACATGCCCCAGGAACATGGGGTGAGGAGAGGTCATGGTACAGCATCTCCAGGAACAGAAAGGATATCGAATTTGGCTACAGGATGGAGGGAAAAAGCCTCTTCTCCCTTTGCAGCCTTAGTGGCTGCCCTACATCAATCCTCTCTTTTTTGACAAAGACCACTTCTCCCCAAAAATATGAGTGTGTGTGAAGACAATGCCATGAGAGGTGTGGGCTCCCACCCTCACAGATGCCAGGAGTGCCTACTCATAGAACTCTTACTGCCAAGACAAAGGCAAGGTGCCTCTTCTGCACTGCATCACCCCTAACAGGCTTTTCAAATAAGTGAGGGACACACAGTGGGGACCCTTAGAGATTGTCAGCAGAGTGAGCGTCCCTCAAATCCCGCCTAATATTCTCTCCACTCCCTAACTTCCCAGATCCCTTGACTCCCCAGCTGGACCACCTGGATGTCAAGTACATTTATGGCCAGATTTAGTAAAGAACCATTCATGCTTTCTGCGCAGTCTGATGTATGCAAAGCTGTTCTTTCTGCTAAGTGACAGGTTTGTTATCACAAGTAAAGTCACTGTCCCACAGGAAAGTTACATCCAAGCAGTCACAAGGTGGCATTGCACACTCCATCTCAGTGCATGCTCTTTCACCATGCATGCTCACACGTGCTCTTATGTGTCAGCCACACACACATGCTTTTGATTAAAATTCAGGAAGGAGACATGTAAAAGCATTTCTAAATCACTTTTGATTATCTCTAAAGGCATTCATAGCTACAAGTACATCCCACTGCACTAAGTGGTTAGGAAAAAAACCATGGAAGTAAGCTGATGCCACAGGAAATGCTGTTTGAATTAAATATGCCGCCAATCCTGGGCTTGAAATGCCGCTCACAAACCAGGCACACAAGGCCAAATTACATTTGCAAAACTGTCCTGTGAGAATTGGGATTTTCTTAATCACTGCAGAGAAAACTTGCTCCAGCCACGCTGCAGGTTTTGATGCCAGCCTTGCAAGGCTAAAATCATGCTGCCATCCAATCCAGACCACAGGACAGACTAACAAGACAATGCTGTGGGGCAGCACAAAAGCTCTGTGTTTGCGGCAATGTCTTCCTCGTGAGAGGAAAATGACTACTCACACTCCTCAGCAAGTGCTCACTGCAGGAACAAAGCCATATCCTTGCCAGATGCACAGGGAAGATGATGTGTTTTAGAAATGCTTTGAATTGGTCTCTAAGCAAAAGCAAACTTTGTACAAAGCATTCACAAGGAAAATGTGCATGTTTAAGTGAGTAATAAAGCAAATCCCTCACCCTCCCTGCCTGCCCACCCCCAGTCCAAGCGCAGACCTGTTCTCTGAGATGCAGGAAGGTCACTGGTTGCAGGCAGAGTACCTGTTGGTCCAGTAGGTAATGCATAAGCCACAGGAGTTGCTGAAGGTCCTGGCCTGCCATGCTGAAAGGATGCACCCAAAGGAGGAAGAGGGAAGGAAGAGATGGGATTGAGGCTTGTTGGGGAAGGTTGAGGCTGACCAGGGTACAGCGGGGAGGGCACAGCGTGGGCAGGAGCAGAGGGCAGGTAGGGAGGGGTCGTGTTAGGGGCAGGGTTTGGGTAAGAGACTGAAGCAGGAACAGCAATAGGTTGCTGAGGCTGATAGAGCGCTGGTCCCCCTGTTCCACAAGAGTATTGCTGTGTGGCCTGATATGCTACAAATGGAGAAAAGACATTCAGTCAGTGAGTTCATAACAGAGGAGCAGGTTTCATCTGCCTCTGCTCCCTTCTCCACCTGACTCTCCTCTCTTCCTTCTCCTTCCCCCTTAAACCACTTACCTGCCCAGCCAAATCCAGGCTCCCAGAACACTGCCTTCACTTGCAGGACTGCTCAAAACCTTAGCCTGACACTGGGAGCAGGGAGCCAGAGAAAGGACTTCCTTGGCTTTAAGGATTCCGATTATCCCCCAAAAACTCTCCCACCCAGAGCCACCATGCCACTAGGAGTGGGATTAAAGCACATGGATGCTGCTGCTCTGGCTGTTTTCTGGACCACTGCAATCCTCATGGTGCCTCTTAGGGAAGGAAAATCCCTGTCCCAGGTTTGCACAAAAGGAAAGCCTAGGACAAGTAAGTGAAATGCAGTCTCTGGAAGTGAATGCAAGCTCACAGCCTTTTACTGTGGGCCTGCAGCTTACCTTTACTGTCTCTTCACTGCTCGACTATGTCCATTTTTTCCAGCCTCATGCCTGTTCTTTATTTCAGTCCGCTGCTTTGAGGGTGTTAGTGCTCTGCTCTCTTCCTCACTCACCTCTACTACTGCTCTAGTCTCCTCATCCCCTTTCCCACCTTCACAGAGTCTCAATGAGAACTGGATGGCTCAGCCGCACATAGATGAGTTGGGTTCCTCTTTGCCAGGCCTGTTCTGCTTCTCCAGGACTCACACTGTGGGGTTTCTGACTCCTGCACACCCTTGGAAAGGGCCAGCTGAGTGAATCTAAGAGCTGTGGGCAGACACCACCTCAGCAGAGGAGAGGGTGACTGATGTTTGGACCCCCTCAAGAAATTACAATCCTCAGATGCCATCTCGGGAGCTTTTCACTCCTCCCCAGAAATGAGGATTGACTTGCTCTGAACTCTCCCAACTCCAAGGAAGGAGACTGGCTATCCCCAGGTAAATATGGTCTCATCACCTGGTTGGTCCACCTGGGTGGGAAGAAGAGGGGAGCTGCTGCTACTCACTCTGTGGGTGTGTTGGCCGGGCCCCTGCTTGTGAGTACATGCTGTAATTGGAAGACGTGGCTTGCTGCGGTGGCATGTTGGGGTTAGCGGCACCTGGCACGATAAACCCTGGAGGAGGTGGGTTGTCCCTCTGTAAAAAAAGATCGCAGGAAAAAGGGTAGGGGGTGACAGGATTTAGTAAGCAACAGTAACATAGTGGTAAAGCAGAACTGCAACAAGACAATTGGTTCACATTTCAAGGCCTGTAACCACATTCCCTGGAAGAGCCACCAGCACAATGGCAAATGCCTCTAATCCCCTCAATGCCTTAAGGTGCTCAGCTAACACTGAAAACACAGCCTGTATGTACAGTGACTTCAGCAGCAGCAGCAGAACAGTACATACCTTCCTGCACAAGGAAGAGGTCCTTGCCAGGGCTGCCTATTATTCAGGCAGTCCAAGAGCACCCTGCCATCCACAGCTTTCAGCTAAAAACCAATTTAAACATTAACTCTGGAACTTCTGATTTCCATGGGAAAGAGGGAAAGCAAAAATACTACCACATTTCAAATACTCCAGCATGGGGCAGGGACTGAGGAGGGGCAGGCAGAGCTCAGGTCACACTAAGCTCCCACTCAAGGCTTTCTAGAGCGGACTGAGGCATTAGTGAAAAAAAGTAACATGAGACACAGAGGAGCAAAACTAGAGCACACGTGGAATCTGCTCCTTCTGTCTGTCTGTCTGTCTGTACCAGACTGTGTCAAGCACACAGACTACACCAGGGGACATATCAGGTTGGAGCAGGGGCTCAGGGAGGAATAATGAAGGTTATACCTGAGTGTCAGAGGGACAGCCTGCAGAAGGATGGCTGGGAAGGGCAGTAGGAGTTTTGTTACTCCAGGTAGTGACAGTAGGGGCAATTCTAACCTGAATTGAACAAAGAAATACCAATCATGGAAAACAAAACAATAAAAAAAAAGTCTAAAGGGCTTCACAAAACGAGATGCAAAGAAGTGAACACAAAAGGGTTTGCATGCTGGCACTTACAATATAGCCATAAAATCTCAGAAGGAGGAAAAGTGCATTCAAGACAGACAAAATTACAGTGCGCCGGACCCAAAGCGAATTGCAGAGTGAAGACAAAGCACAGCAGAGATGCAGCTACAACACGCTGTGGAGCATGTGCAGTGTTACATGTGCCACTGAGCCAGGTCTGCCACTTTCATCACACTTTCCTGATGTAGAAGCTCCCCCAAACCTACTGCGTAACATCAAGCATCACTAACCACAGCTGGAGGTCCCAAGTTGCATGTTAAAGTCAAACATACTGCCTCACACAAAAGCAGTCTGTTTAAAGCAAGCTTACTATGAATTAAAAAAGGTTAAAATCTGATACTCATCTCTTGCATATGCACAACCATACATCTTAATGCTAACTGTTTCCCAGTCAGTCTCCCAAAAATCCTTTCCTTTATCTTCCATCCTTGCCACTCCAAAGCCCTTCCACAACCACTACTACCTTTCTGATGGGACAGAGACCAAGACCTTCCTTATGCATGTGATGTCCCTGAGCAAGAAGAGGGCACACTGCCCAGTAGTGTGATGCGCAGTGGGGGTCAGTAGCCCGACACCCCATCTGAGGGCAAGCAGAGGGAGAGCTGTAGCCCTGGCTGGTTCAGCTGACTTCAGTCTACTGGTCTCTAACCCTGTGCAGTGCTGGGCTAATGGTGCAGTCAGCTGCACAATCACCACTGCTAATGTCTGCATAACTCATCACTAAAGTTGTCTAAAAGACTCTTCCACACCTTTTCATGCCCCTTTTTTTTTTTTTTCAGATGATAAAAGGGTTCAAAAAACCCACACTAAAAGGAAACCACGCTTTAAGGACATGTTCCTGCCTGAGGCAGCAACTAAACAAAGGCTGCATGAAGCCTGACCAAGTCCTACATATACACTTTCCTGAAAGTAAGTAAATCAAAACAAGTATCCTAAGACTCAAACACATAATTTCTTTCCATTCTGGTTCATCAGCATATTGCACAGCACATCACACCTGTGCCCTTCAAGTCTCTTCTGCTGAGCATGAGCTCCCTGAAAAGCTAAGAACACAGGGGGTAACTCACTTGCAGTGTGTGTGTGGAGTTGCAACACACCCAGCCTTTTATTAATGAGCAGGACTTGCTTAAATAATAGCTTGAGGCATTCCCAAGATATTAGGAGAAAGAGGGAACTCTGGTTTAAAAGGCATTGCTAAGATCATGCTAGCTAGAGGACACCTGCTGTTTTCTACAGCCTTGAAAATCATATGCAATAGAATTAGCAAGATAATCTTAGACGAACAAGATGAAGACTTTGTCTCTTCTGAAATCTACCTTGTCATCACCCTGGAGAGAAGGCACACACACAATTGTTGATATCAAGAGGGAGAGAACAAAGGCCAACTCCCTCCCAGTTTTCAGCATTTCTTCCTTACTGCCCTCATTTTTCTGGCAGGCAGTGCTTGAAGGGCAGCACAGACAGAGACATGCTTCTGCTTGTGCCAGTCTCCTCTGTGCAAGGAGAAAACCTGCAGCACTAACAGTTCCAAGAAAATCCCAGCCCAGAGTGCCTGTGCAGAACTGGGCCAGATGAGCTGTGCTGAGGGATTAGAGACTTGGTAATGGTCTTTACGCATGCATAGAGCCAGGGTTGCCCATCACACCACACTCCAGTGATGGCCAGCATGACTTCATTCTGAGGCTAGAAGGCATCTGCCTCCCCTATTTCTCCTCTTCCTCCCCACACAGCCCTTAGCTCCCTTATTAGTCCTATACTCAATGGATCTTTCTTCTGGCACAGCTCATTCTCAGCCCAGGCCTTCCTCCCCACTCCTGTCTCAGCCCCTGCCCACGCTGCCTATCCCCACTTACACCGGGCTGGGAAGGTGTTTTCACAGTAGGCTGTACTTGCAACTGCTGAAATATGCCCTCGGTTTGCTATTGCCACTGCTCAACATTTTCTGCAGCCAACATCAGAGCCAGGAGGGTGGGTTGGAAATAATCAGCCCCAGAAGAGGCTGGAGGAAGTCCCAAGGCTGGCAGGAATGGGACAACACCAGGGCCTATATGAGCAAGCACAGAAAAATCCTGCAGTGCTCTTCCACACAGTCATTTCTGGCACTGAAAATCAGTGGGAAAACACCTAATCTTCAGAAGCAGGCTACTTGACAAAGTGTTTCACAGATGTTTCCAGATGAGGAGTAAAGAAGGCATCTGCACTGACTGAAAAGCAGCACCGATGACTTTCACCACAGGGCTGTCAACATAGGTATGTCATACAGCTCCCAGCTCCAGTTAAGAGAAGTAAAAAAAGATTCCTCTATCCATCACTCTCCTGAGCTCAAGCACCATGTTCCTCCTTGACTGCCAAAAAACATTTACCTGTTGGTAATACTGCAGGGCTGGAGCTTGGGGCCCTTGCATCTGTCCTGCCACAGGGCCAGCTCGTCCTTTGGGCATGAGCTGTCTCTCAGACGGTGCCCTGAGGGTCTCCTGTCCCGCTGGGAGCTCCCCTTGTGCTCTGCAAAGCCTGTCCCGTAACAGCACAATGTTTGGCTGCAATCAGAAAAGGGCAGAGAAGGAAGGTTAACTGCACTGCCTGTCACTCGGTGCATCACACCAGGAGGCTGAATGGCCACATACTGGTGAGCTCTCTCAGAAGTCTACTCTACTTTATTTGACTGGAATAAGTCTTTTCTGCATGAGACATGCAGCTATTGGAACTGCCTTACATGTGCCTGCCTCCCATCTTGGGCTGCATCATTCCCAAGTCAGTCTATCTACAAAAACCAGCTGATGGAAGATGAGAAATCAAAAGAAAACAACCAACCAATTGTCAAGGTAAATGTTTCACTGTGTTTGGCTTGCAGGAGGGACAGCTGCCCCTTTGGCAGGTTGTGTACTTCTATCAGCTCAAGGAGAGGGGAAACAGCCTGACCACCATATCCTGAGGTGCATTTCAAATGGCAGTCCTGCTGCACCACATGGGTATCTTTGCTTGAAGTACACAAAGTGAGGAAGTAAAAACCTTAAGGCCCCGTACCTGGTTGGTGTTCGCAGGCAGGAAGGTCAAAGCTGCAGCAATGCTGCCTTGGGCAGCCAGGAGGTTCGCATACTGGCTCATCTTCTCAGCCAAAAGGGCCCCCACAACATTAGGGTCCACAGCCCGGGTGAGCTGCACAGCTTTGCGCAGGATTACAACCTTCTCTATTAAATCCTATTGGGGAAAAAAACAAAACAAAACCACAAATAAGAACAAGGGGTGAAGTAGGCCCTAGCTAATAATTGCCATGGAGGACTGTTCCTCAGAGCAGCCCTGCAGAACCCCTTGCACCCAACAGGAAGCCCAAGCCAAGTGCAGGTTTCTTGAACAGTTACAGCTGCAGTAAAGGCATCATGTTCCAAGCACAAGAGATAACACAACAGCAACTGGCAACGGTGCACCAAATGGCTTCTGACAGCAAAGACATCAGTGCATCAGAGTTCAAAGCCAAAGAACTGTTCTTACTAAACAGGATTCTCCAGATTTAACTCTAAGTTATTAGATTTCTTCCCCCAAACAACCAAGCCATCTCTTCCAGAAACAAAAAAGTCCAACCAGGTATTGCCCCATTCCAAAATATGCAAGCATTCAAAGCCCCTCTTTTACCAAAACACTAAGCCCTACAACTACCTTTCCGCACAAGCAGCATATTAGCATGACTACCTGAAGTACAGAGCAGACAAGGATTACTGTGCTTCACAATGTATTTTCCAATATCATATTTACATGGTATTACTATGGAAGACATTCATTCCAGAAGGAAGAGGCTTCCATCCTGAGACACATGCAACAATCAGACAAAGCTCTACACTAGATCATTTAAGTGCCAAATAATTGCAGTGCTTTACTTCCAACATCTTTCTTAACAAAATTACCAACCTGAAGGGTCAAGGGGCTGTTTCCATCCTGAGCTTTGGTCCAACAAGCAACGAGTTTTTCAATATTGCCAGCACAAATGTAACAGAGACAAGCCTGTGTCTGAAGGAGGCTGTCCCCCTCACTCTCCAGTCTATTACCCAGGAGATCTAAGAAAGACATGAACAAAGAAGATGCTGGTGAATCACTGTGGTGATCCCTCCATCACTGCTGAGGCTTGGAAAGCAATACCTGTTTTATCTCTGCTCAGCACAGTGAGAAGGGATCCATTGGTAAGGACACACTCTGGTGCCCAGCAGATACAAATCAGAGGGGAGAGTCCATCTGCCAACCTGACAAAGGGCCAGAGTTTGATAGTCCCCTCCATCACCCACTTTTTGCAGGCCCTCATTTCAGGAGCATGACCCTAGCATGTAAGCTGCCAAGGAACTGTGAGCAACAAAGCTGTGATACTGCTCTCTGGGCTGATGTATGCTGAAGAGAGTTGTACAGCTCCCTAGACACAGTGCTAGCATCTGAGGGGCACAGGAGTGTCACTCACACAGCTATTGACAATATAACTTCCCCCATCCAGCTGTCTGCCATGCAGCACACATGACAGCAAGCATGCTCACCACATGGGAAAGAGGACTCCTACCAAGAAGTCAAAATTGCTCTTGGGAAAGTGTAGTGAAGCACTTCCCTGGTGTCCCATCCACAAACACTCCAAGACACTGGTCCCTTGGCTGAGACACCTGTCACATCAACATCACCATTACCCATCTGGAAATGGTAAGAGACCAGAAGCTGTGCACTACACAAACGATGCCAGGACACAGCTGCTCACCAGGGTCTGGGTTCTATGCCCAGAAAATTAGGGAACATACTGAGAGCACAGCACTGCAGAGGTTCCTCTCCTCTGCAAGGAGACTGAAGAACTATATGACTTACCAAAGAAGCTAGCCAGGTATTACAGCAGTTTACTGGAAAACAACTGTGGCAAAGTATAGTTTTGCTACAAGTGGAATAAATGACATCCAGTTTGTAAAGTGTCCTTACCGCAGAGGGCTGCAAATTCATCTGGCCTGGCATAAGTGAGCACAGCAGCCAAAGCCTCTCTCCAGTTCTGCAGATCACAAGACTGCACAATCTCTTCCCAGTTCTTTGTTACCACCGCAGTGATGAGCTAGACCAGAAGAAGGAAGGTAACATTTAAGATCTTGGTAGGATTTCCTTTGTTTTCTAAGATACAGTATAATTTTTATCTATTCAAGTGTACTCATCCCCACTGTAGGTAGGGTCACTGTAGATACTGCACTGCAATTCAACATCCACACAAGAGTGAATTTTACTTCAAAAGGAGTTCTGTGAAAACCACAGACTAAGCTTGGATAACAGACACAATTATTCTTACTATAAAATGTGTAAGAAAAGAATGCACAATCTTTGCAAGCTGGGATTGCTGCATATGGTTTTCAGCAGTTTTTGCACAGAAAGGTAATATACCAGGTATATAGCTACAAATCCCCTACACAATACTCAGCAAGGGGTATGAATTTTTCAAACTCTTTCATTCAGCTTTAAGCTTTTGGGTTCAGGTTGACCAGTGAGGGGCAGCTGAAAAGGCTGCTCGAAGGAGCAAACAAACTGGCAGTTACAGCAACCTGAGCAGGCTGCAGTATCCCTGCCTTGCACCCAGAGCCTGCATGTCCACAAGCCCTCAAAATGAAAATCCACAGTTTCTTTCATCTCAAGCTCTGCCTCCGGTTATTTTGCTTCAGATAAAAGACAGCCTTGGCAGCTGTGCTGGTATTTAGTGAATGAAACTCTTGTCATGCCATGACTTCAAGCTCAGAAATTGAGCTGAACAAGCAGGAAGTGTGCAGTATGAGACCAGAAAATCCAAATAACAAGTGCAAGGTCAACATTCACTTGTTAGCACAGCCATAAATAACTGGTCAGCTCTCCATATAAATACCTTTTCCCAAAGGATGAACTACAACGAAGGTATTTCCGACTCGCTTCAAAATTCTCCTTTCTTTGATTAAGCCAGAGGCAAGAAAAAAGCTGGGGGCAAGGGGAAAATCCTGCAATGAATGACTAATTGAGATTTTTTTTCCTCTTTTCAGTCATTCACTACTAGAAATGCAAATTGCTCCTATCTCAAACTGGATCACAGGCAATAACCAGCAAAATACCAGTTACAGACCCTAGTTTGTGGTGCTACATGCCCTAACTCCCCCAAGTGACTGTGCTTAGTGGTCTTCAGCCCTGCTTCAGGGAAGTACTTAAGCACACGCCCATCTCATAGGCTGTCTCCTACTACTGTATAAAAGACTCTTCTTTAACAATAGAGTACTAAAAAGTGCCCACAAGCAACTTTCTCCTTTCTTCTAAAAGCGGCCATCCTTGAAAGATCATTTGTCCTGTGCTCTTTTAAGGACATTTCTCCTGTTTCATCCTCCAGTTGCCACTTTCTCATGTTAACAATACAGAAGAAAGATCTGAATGAGCAGCATCACCCATCTCTAGTATTGCAAAAAGCTGAAAAAATAATAATCAGCTGGCCATAATAAACTGCCTCCTGGACAGTGATTGATCTACCCTGGGTATACTGACCTCTCTTCTGTGCATGCAGTGAAACAAAGCATCAGCAAGATTTGCTGAGACTAATCACAGGCAGAAACCAATATAACACTGCTGGCAGCAAGCATGGGTCATAGAATGGCTTGAGCTGGAAGGGACCTTAAAGATCATCTAGTTCCAACCCCACTGCAGTGAGCAGGGACATCTTTAACCGGATCAGGTTGCTCAGTCTTATCCAGCCAGGCCTTGAACACTTTCAGGGATAAAGTATCCACAACTTCTCTGGGCAATCCATTCCAGTGTTTCACCACTCATAATAAATAGCCTTATCCTAATATCTAATCTAAATCTACCCCACTTCAATTTAAAAACATTGCCCCTTGTCCTATCACCACATGCCCTTCTCAAAAGCCCCTCCCCAGCTTTCCTGTAGGTACTGGAAGGCTGCTGTAAGATCTCCCTGGAGCCTTCTTTTCTCCAGGCTGAACAATCCCAAATCTCTCAGCCTGTCCTTGTAGGAGAGGTGCTCCAGCCTCCTGATCATCTTCATGGTTATCCTCTGGACCCACTCTAACAGGTCCATGTCCTTCTTGTTTTGAGTGGTTCAGAATCATATGTGACTCTTGAAAAATGTGACAAGATAACCAGATCGAAATATGCATTGCTTAAGACATTTATCAGTTAGAATCTACTAGTGTATATCCATCCAACTTAGAGGCACTGGAGACAAGGTAAAGAACAGTCTTCTTGTGTATAGATATCCAGGTAGTGTGCCTCTTCTCTCCTTATAAATGCATTAAGAAAGAGTAACACAAACCCTTCTGCTCCGAGATCTTATGGATTACTTGAATACTTATTAGCTTCTCACAGAAATAAACCTATAAAATGGCAAGTTTTAAGTTGCCAAATGCATATATGCATGTTCTCAGCTGAAAAAACATACCCTGGTAATTTTGCTCTGCATCTTAGCAAAGTACTTTTCTTGCGTCCTAGAAAGCAGCTCTTGTCCACCTGCGATGGCCAAGATAATGGCATCAGCCATGCGGTTATCATGCAAGCAGAGATCAACTGCGCTCTCAAAGTTACCCGTCAGCAGAGCTTGGGTAATCAAACCGTCCACATCTGCAACAAGAGAGAAATAAATTTTCAAATGATGGCACAAAAGTCACTTAAATATACAACAGCAGGTGATTCTGTCCAAAGGTACAACACTGTGCAAAATTCTCTGCAAACCAGCCTGTTCCAGGCAGGTACTTACAGGGATGCTCACGCTCAACTCCAGTCTCAAACACTGTCAAGCATTGCTTCCCTTGCTGCATAGCAAAATGCTAGTTAATGCTAGCAGATGCCAAGAGGTCTAAATGACCTCTGAAACAACAATCCTGCATGCAGTGCCAAAACCTAAGTCAAATCTAGACAGGAGTCAATGCCTTTTGTGTTATTCAAGATCCCCTGGGAGTTTCTGTACACTTCATGCCTGACTAGGTGTGTTTCAGCCTCACCTCCATCCCTGGAAAGGTGATGGAACATCTTATCCTTGGCACTGTCTCTAGGCATATCAAGGATAAGAGGGTCATCAGGAGCAGTCAGCATGGCTTTGCCAAGGGGAAGTCATGTGTGACCAATCTGATAGCCTTTTATGAAGACATAACCAGGTGGATGGATGGTGGCCAGGCAGTAGTTGTGGTCTATCTGGATATCAGCAAGGCATTTGACACCATCTCCCACAGCATCCTCATAGGTAAACTGAGGAAGTGTGGTCTGGATGACCAAGTAGTGAGGTGGGTCGCTAATTGGTTGAAGGGAAGAAGTCAGAGAGTTGTAGTTAATGGGGCAGAGTCCAGTGGGGTCCCTCAGGAGTCAGTGCTGAGACCACTGCTTTTCAATATAGTCATCAATGACCTGGATGTGGGATTAGAGAGCGCTGTCAGCAAGTTTGCTGATGACACAAAACTGGGAAGAGTGGCTGACACACCAGAAGGCTGTGTTGCCATTCAAAGAGACTTAGACAGGCTGGAGGGCTGGGCGGGGAGAAATCTAATGAAGTTCAACGAGGGTAAGCGTAGAGTTTTGCACTTGGGAAA